TTTCTCTATATTCTAAAACACATAAATCATAGTTATTTTAGTGTCTCTGTCTGGCTTCTCAATATTTGGATCTCCGGGGGGATTATTTCTATTGTCTTTTTCTTGTGTTCTTTTGCTTTTTGGTCAATTGGACTGTTTTTTGGCATGCTGGCTGAGTTTTTATTAAATGCTGAACGTGGTGTTTAATGAATTGTAGAGGCTCTGGTTTGTGTTATCTTAAAGAGGGTTGATTTATCTTCTGGCAGTCACATAGAATGCTGGCAGAGCCTCATGAGACAGTTGAGGGGAAGTAGGCAATTTAGACACAGCATTTCCTTTCAGATGTTTGCAGGTTGCTTTGCTTTATAGTAGTTGTAATTATAATTTACCTTTATTTTACACCATTTCTCTCTACTGTGGAGCCCAAAGAGCTCTAAAAGGCACCTTTTAAAGATTTGAGGGTCAGGGACCTGTAGCGAAAGGGGCCAATAGAGAGGAGTGTATGTAGGATGTGATCTTGATTTTTTGTTTCCAAGACACATGGAAGAGACATATTACCCAGAACCCATATCTGAAATTCTTTGAACACATTTCCCAATAACCTTGGACACCATTATGAAGTGTGCCTTCAGCCACCAGGGTAGTGCCCAGGAAGGACAGGAAGTAAACTCATTCGCCATGAGCTATTTCATCCATGAGCATGCTGCTCCACTTCTTCTCTTCCAATACCTCCAGATCCTGCTTGGAAGCAGAGTTTAACAAAACCAAACTCACCCTTCCTGGTCAGGACACTTTCCTGAATCACGATGACCTGGTTTACAAACTCAGCCATCAGAACTTCCATTTTAATAAATATTGCCTGGTGGCCCATGAGCACCCAGGTTTGTCTTGGGCTTTGCATTGCCTGAGACCTCTATAAAACAACCAGTTGCCTAAGATACAAACCCTGGAGCTGGATGCTTCCTCAGTGGTGGTGGACAAAATGTAGCCCACAGGTAGTCTTCAAGAAATAAATGGTAGCTAAACCAGGTGCAGAGCAGGACCAGTTTTAGAATGCCAAACACCTAAATTCCGGCTCAGTTCCTCTCTACTAGGGCCACCCCCTCCCATCTCCCCAGGGATCTCATCAATGGCCACTCCACTCAGACTCCCAACCTGGACAGGAAAAGGAGTTGCTGTCCTGCGTGGATCTTCCCAGAGACTGTGCAAGATCTGCCATCTGGTGGCTGCTCAAGATATTGCAAGCAAACAGGGAGAAAGGATAAAAAACAGGAACAGACGATTGTCAAAAAAAGATAGCACCATACTTTGTGAATAACCTTTTAGAAATCTTTGGCCTCAAAACAAACTGGAATTCTCTCTCTCTCTCTCTCTCTCTCTCTCTCTCTCTCTCTCTCTCTCTCTCTCACACACACACACACACACACACACACACACACACACTTTACACTGTGGTTTAACTGATTAAACTTAAATGGATTCAAACCTTAGGGAAACCAATAGTGAGCGTGTACCTTACCAGAGCCTCAGAGAAGCTCATATTCTCTCCTGGGAGTTTGTCCTAAAGAGAGTTCATTGATTCAGGGCTTTGATGGAAGAGGTACAATGACTAGGGTGATTCAGATAGAGGCAGTTTCAGTGCAGAGATCCATGGGTAGTGGCCAGGAACCAGACCTTCAGCCTGATCCCACACAGGAACTGGGGTGCATGGAAAAAAGAAGGATCCAGAGCGCAGCCATCCAGGAGGATGATGGGGCTTCAGGACCAGAGGCTGAGGCTGTGCTTTCCAGGCCAATGGGAGCCCACTGGGCTCAGCTGATCCAGCAACCAAGCCGAGGGCCACCCAGCCTAGCCGGCTTGTAGACTAACTCCAGACCCTACTTTCTAAAGAAGGAGCTTTGGGAAGAGATGAAACCATTCTTAATACCCTTAATGGGGCCAGGCGATAG